CTCAATTCTTTCCTGAGGTATTGTTTTGTGGTTTAATTTACTGTCCTGCTGGATGCATTACCTTTGATCGTCCTTACCTAAAATGATTTTTAAAGACCTGCAAAACATTTTATTGCATAGGACACTATTCATGACACAGAGATTGGGAAGTGTAAATTGGTGGCATTGGAGCAAGTCTTACAAATACTGCATTTTAAAGGATCTGTTACATACATATTTTTACAGTTTGTCTCTTTGAAAAAATGGAAGTTACAGCTAAGAATGAACACTACGTAGAGTGAAGCACTTTAGGAATGTAAGAGATTAGAGCAGATGAATGATACAAAGGAAAAAGCCATAATTCTTGCCGGCTATATACTGTATTGCCTTCAAAAGCGACTGTACATGTTGTAATCGATTCATAGTTAAATACTTTGACTAATCTGTTTTGGGAGAGCAAATGTCTTTCAAGGTCTCAAGTTCCTCTATGAGCTTCTTGTTCTGAACTTCCAGCACGGCCACCCGACTCTCCAGACACTTGACGTATTCTTTCTTTCGCCGTCGACATTCTTTAGCAGCTTCCCTGAAAAAAGCAGAAGCAAAGGGCAAAACAGAACGCGTTTGTGCATGCTATCAACAAGAAACTGAGGTGAGCTTGGCGAATGAGCACGGAGGCATTCCAGATCTCGGAATAACATCCCCAACTCAACTTCAAACACTAAGCCAGACTGGATTCTTAAGGGTCACAAGGGCCCCTTCCACAAGTCCACACGGCAACTAGTAGAACTGCTGCTTCTGCTTTGATCACAGTTCACAGTCAACAAGGTCCAAGCCAAGACAGTTACTCTGCTTTATGGCAATAAAGATCTTTGAGGGCCTTGAGTTCCTCAATGAGAGTCTTGTTTTGGTTTTCAAGCACAGCCACACGATTTTCAAGACATTTGACATATTCCTTCTTCTTCCTGCGACACTCCCGGGCAGCTTCCCTGGAACCAACACAAGGCAAATGACTACAGGAACAACCTTCCAGCACAATGCAGAGTGGATTCTGCCCCCCAAACTCGACAGCTAGTCAACCCTAGGTACAGTCTGGACAAGCCACACAATGATGTAACCAAGCACAAGCCTTTTTGGAAGGCCACTGCACGATGACAGGAATGATCTGTAGGTGCAACCAACTTGCCCAGCATTCTGCACAAACATGACACACATTTCATGACAATGACCAGAGTCATCTTCAGTGAGCAACAAGAGGACTGCACCCCCAAGGGGAATTTCTACAAAGATATTTACAGATTCTTGCAATTCTTTTAGTCATTTCTGTCTGCCAAAGGGCAATATTCCATCACAATACATTAATTTTATTTGATCGAAAATAATGATAAGAACTAATTCTCAGAAATCTTAAGTGTCAGTATTGGAGATTTTTATTCAAGACTAAATCTCAGTAAAACAAGATTGATCACAATGGCAAGAAACAGTTTGTTGGCTAGAAAACGCAATGTGGATAAATTATAACAATAAACAAAACATGCACAATTTTATAAACCAAAATGAAATGGACACTGCTTCTGAAAAATAAAGAAGGGGTTACAATTTAAACCCACAAATGTGAAACCACAACAATTAAAATTATGAAAGGAAGCTACTAGATAACTCAAAAGTGTATCTCGCTGTTTTCTAGTCACATGTATTTAATATTCAATATACTGAATTTTAAAGCACTAGAGGCACGCAAAGGAAAGAACAGACCACAGCCAAAGCAAGAAACATAAACAACAAGTGAGTTACGTTAGTCATGTTCATGTACAGTCCCATCAAAAAAGCAGCAAAGAGAGCCGACATTTTCTCCTTCTCTCCTTTCATTCAGTGTAGGAAGGGATGGCAACTACTTCACTTAACTCCTGCATAGAAAATACCCACTATAACTTTACTTTCCTCAATTCCAAAATAACTTCCTTTCAGGTGTATCTGTACCCTTCATTTAAAAAAAAATGAATAATAAAAATAAATCCTACATTGAAACAGATATAATTCAAGCATATTTTAACAAAACTGGTATTAAATGTCTAATTGCCAGTTACCATAATGTTGATTAAAATGCTGCACTACACACGTTGCATACAACAGACACGGCCAACTGTTTTATTTAGGATAGTTGCCTCTCACTTCACCAAATGTCTTTTTTTTTTCTATAGGGAACAAGAGTCAGCAGAAAAGAAACCTTGAAATCCCAGTGAACTGCAGGGAAAGATCAATCCCAACACTTCCTAGCTAAGAACTCACTCTCCCAGTGAATTCACAGGTTCTCAGACATCACAACTAGTTAACAAAAACAAAAATGTAAACGTGAATTTGACCTGGTAAAACAGTAATTAATGTTGTTAATGTTATCTAAAAGAGGCACAGGGAGAATAAATTCAAACACAAATTTACCAGTTTGGTATGTAATTAAACTTTCTTCTATAAAGGAACTAAAATTCATTTATAAATAAATACCAAGGTTTTCATGATAACAAATTCTAGATCTAGAAGGAAGACAGACATTTTACAAAACAAGTTATCATAAAATAAAACTGTAAAGACATAATAGCAGTGTTGGTGTTCAATTTAAAAAATTTTATTTATTGGGACCAGCAAATGGCTAATAGTTACATCACTGGACTATCCACATGGCTGACTGCAGTTCAGGTTCTGGACCTAGAAGCTTGAAACTCATGCAGGGCACGCGCGTGTGTGCGTGTGTGTGTGTGCGTGCGCCTAAAATCCTGAGAGGAGAATGGAAGAGAAGGGAATGCAGTGTGGCCATCCACCCAGAGGAGTAATTTCTCTCTCTCTCGTTCTCTCCAGAGAGTACATTCACCCTATAGCAAAAACAAACAAACAAAAAAATCTTTTAACAAATTATTTATCGAACTGTTTACTGTAAATATACTTATTTCATGTTTTATATTCATGTGCATGTGTGTGCACATGTACATGTTACATAGAATCAAAATGTTCTAGGCGAAGCCTTAAATGAGTACACAATAGATTATACATTCCTAAGCACTTCCTAGCTATGGAAAACACCTGTCCCTTCTATTAATAGCTCATTTGTCAGGCCCTGCATCTGTCTGGTTATATAAGAGGAAACACATGGCAAAGAGAAAAAACTGACAAAGCTATAATTAAAAACCAAGGGCTAGGAAGGAGGTTAAGGAAGCTGGATCCCACATGGCTGATTGTGTGGTTTGAGTCCTGGACCTTGTGGCTTGAAAAACATGCTGAGTACGTGTGTATGCATGCCTAAAATCCTGAGAGGAGAAAGGAAAGGAGAAGGGGAGACTATGATGTGGTCATCCCCCCAGGGAATGCCCTCTCCCTTTCCCTCTCCCCCTGGTGAGCACATGTGCAAACTTCAAACATACAAAAACTGTTGCTCAACTAGTAGAAACATAATATAATTGAATATCTATTATAAATGCTAGGCAGAGAATAAAGAGAGACTGTCTAAGAGATCTCTCTTGTTGATCACTAAAATCTATGCACTTTCAATAAAGTCAGATCTGATGCCAATGTTGCAGTCTTTTGGAGATCACTTGGATTTGTGCCATGGACAGGCTCTGGAATATACTGCCTGACTACATACCCTGCTTCTGTCTAGTCTGGGTTTTGTAACCTTGACCTGTTACTTGAGCTCTCTGAACCCCAGGTCCTCCCCTGTAAAGGTGCGATGATAACCAAACCTGTTTTCACATGAAAGTTACATGAGAGTTAAAACAATAAAAATAAAGCACTTAAAAACCACTTAACAGTCACTGAGCAACCTCACAGCCATTCAAGCAGCCGATTTTCTCTTGTCTTGCTCTAAAATCAGGATTTGGAAAGCCAAAATATACCCTCTTGATACCTCACAGCTAATGCAGAGGCCTCCTTCTAGTCAATTAAATACAGTTTAAGATTGCTAGGAAGACGGGGAATTTCCAAGAAAGTTTCAGAAGGGCTAGACTCAGCTAGCTGCAATTTTTGGCTCTATCCCTGCTCCCTGCCTGATCAATGCCTAGAGGCATAGTAGCCCTGCTATGACCCAAAGAATTGATATACATTGGGGTGACAGGTCAGTGAGAAGCCTAGATCCTTGACAGCAGGCACAGCTTTGTTCTGGAGGCACAGACCTCCAGACTCACTATAGCTAATGAACAAATGAATAGGGGTCAGCAGGTGATGTGATGGTTAGTGTGCTGGATTCCCACATGGCTGACTGTGGTTCAAATCCCAGACCTGGCAGTTTGCATTCTCACTTTTCTCTCTCTCTCTCTCTCTCTCTCTCTCTCTCTCTGATCAAACTAAAAAATAATAAGATAAATAAAATAAAATAAAATAATTCTTAAAAATAAATAAATAAAACCACCTGATAGGACTCGTTTGGCAGAATGTCTTTTTTTGAGTGTGGGAGGCTGTGGGTTAAAAATAAACATAAAAATAAACACACAAAGGCATACAAGTATAAAAAAGCAATTTCTCTGATGGAGACTGCCATGACTCCAAACTGGTCCCAGGTTTATTCTTTTAAAGGGCAAAAAATGAAAGAAGAAATGGAATGTAAAGTCAGTTGTCTTTGGATGTTAATAAGCTGAAGATGTGAGGACAATCGGAACCCCGTATTTTCTCTGATCTTTTGGGGCAAATTCTGATAAACACATGTGGTTTCCTTTAAATAGATACTGCTCTGCAGTTTCAGGCATTTAGTGTATTCACATGCAAATCGCTCTTATCACCATGCAAACAATAGCTCATGGAACTGCCCTTTCTGCATGTGTCAACTGCAGTGAGCTGTATGGGCCCAGCTGGGTTCTACTTTATAGTATGTTTATGCCTAAAGTCAGACTTGGGTTCATGTATAGGTATGTGTCAGCTGTGATAACGATTGGATATATTTAGACTAATTAAGTTCATTGGCAGATCATTTGAATGGGGAGGGGGAAGGCATGGAGGGCAACCGTGGATGCCAGGGACAATGGGGGAGGAGGATGAGTCATAGCAGAGGGTGGGGGATGGGGAATCAAGGATGGCAAAACAAAAGGCAAGGTATGCAGGACATAAGAATTGGGAAATTATTTGCTGAGAACATGTACGTTGATGTGCTTGATTGAGCCAATGCACAGTGTATTTTCGATGGAAAATTCATTTGTGTGTTGTGATGGAAAAAAAGAAATTATAATAATAAAAATAAATTAAAAAAAAAAAAAAAGAAAAGTCACTATGCTTGCTCAGATTGGCTACTCCACAACTGCCTACAAGTTTAGGCCTCCTTTCCCTTGCTTATGTGCAGCTCAAACACAAACCCTTTTGGAAGTTATTCTCTTTATTAGGTATTTTTCAAAAACCCCAAATTTTACAATTTGCTATAGGCAGTTGTATAGTGTGTTTATTAACAGCCACCAACTAACATTTTATCTATTTCACTTTGATATTTCTTTTAGGTTTTTGTCATACGGATGTGAGCTTGCCAGAAAGAGAGAGAGAGTCACACAGACAATGAGAGAGGAAAGTGAGAAATTGCCCCCTCAGGGTGGATGGCCACACCACAATCCCTTCTCCACTCTCCTCTCAGGATTGTGGGCATGCACACACACCTGGCATGATTTTCAAGCCTCAAAGTCTGGACTTGAATTGCAGTTGTCCATGTGGGGGTCCACTGCTTTAAACAACATGCCACCTGCTGGCCCTCATTTTGACATTTGTACCAAAAATACTGAAATCCAAAACCAATGTTAGAGAATAATGACAAAAGGGAAATAAGATTATTTTCTAGCCCTTCCTTTTATTTTCTTTGAGTTAAAACATCAGTGAGCAGTGTTACGGTGTGCATTACTAACCACACTGTATGATTCTAAACAGAGCCTAGAAGTGGACACTCTGTGACCAGAAAAGCAATGATATCCATGGTTCTTCCAATTTCAGAAAGTGCAATTGTAAAGGAGCCATACCTTCTTCCATAAGATTGAAGTTAGGGATCGGCCAGGAGATGGCACAGCAGTAGTACAACTGAACTTACATGGAAAGCATCCTGGGTTGAAACCCTAGGACCTCCCTGAGCACTTGGTGCACGCAAGTGCCCATGATCCAGACCAGCTAAGACTGGGGATGGATTGTGGCGTGAAGACCCTATTAAGGGTGCTTTGCTTTCTCTCTCAACTTCTTTCTTCATGAAAGAAGTAAAAAAATAAAAATAAAATGTTTAAAGTTAGGGATCTCTGATAACAAAACTGACATAAGACAACTATGATGACATGTAAGCATACCCATTGAGCTCTATTAGTATTTCTGAGCAAAATGCCAACGATGGAAAGTATTAACCCAGCATAATCTGGTAAAACTGGAATTTTTTTTTTTTCCATAAGGTGCATGTGCTTGTGCATGTGCTTGCTGGAAAGAGACAGAGGGAGGAAAGTGAAAAATCATGCTCCAGCAGGATGGCTGTGCCACAATGCCTTCTCCTCTATTGGGATTTTGGGCACAAACACACATGTGCCCAGAGTGATTTTCAACTTACCAGGTCTAGAACTTGAACCATGGTTGGCCATGTGGGAATCTAGTGACTTAAACACCATGCCACCTGTTGTCCCCAAGATCTGTATATTTTAACAATCCTATCTCTGGTTGTCTATTGTGTTCTCTGGTGTACAAAACCCTGTCTAATGATCTGTGAGCTGATAAGCTTGGGAATAGCAGCCAACTTAAGGATTCTTCTAATATAACAAATTGTAACATTAAAAAAGTTATTTATAAACTATTAAAAGGACAGTAATAAGAACTCAGCACTGAATTTTAGGGGTTCAAAGACCAAGATTTCTAGTTTGACTGGGTTGCTAACACCTAGTTAATTAATCACCATCATCCATGGCCTTGATCACAGGAAGGCACCCTAACTCTAACCCAACTGAAATGCTTCCATTCTTTCAATAAGGACATTCCTCAGCACCCAGGAATAAGAAGACAAGATTACTGAAAATCAAATTAATTTATACCTCTCTCCATGATAAAAATCAAGAAATAATACAGAAATGAAATAAAACTTTATTTAAGTTAGAAGTTTTTTAAATTTTGGAAAATATTAGCTCATTGGCAAAGTCATGATGCTTTTTTTTTTTTTTTTTAAGAGAGAGAGATTTTTGCTATAGGGTGCGTACACTCACCAGAGACACAGAGACAGAGAGAGAGAAGGTGAGAAATCGTCCACCAGGGGGATGGCCACCCTAAAATCCCCTCTCCTCCATTCTTCTCGTGGGATTTTGGGCATGTGTGCACACAAGCCTGGTGTGAGTTTTAAGTCACCAAGACTGGGACTCGAACAATGGTCGATTACATGAGAATCCAGTGATGTGACCATTATGCCATTTGCTGGTCCTAGTCATGATGCATTTTTGCATAGAAAAACATAGAAAATGCGTCATGACTTTCTTGATGACCTAATATAATTTTATTATATACTACTATTTAAAAAATAAAACTACAGGACCAGCAGATGGTGTAATGGTTACGTCCCTGGACTCCCATGTAGTGGACCGCAGTTTGAGTCCTGGACCTGGTGGCTTAAAACTTACACCAGGCACATGTGCATGAGTGCCCAAAATCCTAAGAAGAGAATTGAGAAGAAGGGATTGTGGCATGGTCATCCTCCCAGGGGGTTGGTGGTGGTGGTGATTTTTTGCTTTGTCTCTCTGGTGAGTACACATATCCTATAGTAAAACAATCTCTAAAAAATACTACAGGGACCAGTGGGTGGCGTGATGGTTTAAGGCACTGGACTTCCATGTGACCACAATTTTGAGTCCTGGACCTGGGGGATTGCTTTCTCACTTTTCCTCTTTCTCTCACTCTGTCTCTCTCTGGTGACTATAGAAAATTTAAAAGTAATTAATTTATTAAATTAAATAAATAATTCTTGAAAAAAAGAAAAAGAAAATGTGTGTGCATGCCCAAAATCCCAAGAAAAAAATGGAGAAGAGATAGTGGCCTGGCCATCTCCCTGGGGGGTGGATTTTTCACTTTTCCTCTCTCTGTTTCTCTCTCTCTCCAGTGAGAGTACATGCCCTATGGCAAAAACTTAAGAGAAAACAAAATAAGAAAAAAAAAAAAAAACAGAGATAAGGTGCAAGAATGAGTGAGACAAGCCCAGCTGCATGGTATCGGCAGGAGAGTGCCACTGTGTGGTGGCCACAGCTGCACGGGAGGCGTGGATTTGGTTCTTGGGTCAACCTGAACTGGTCGAGTGCAGTGGGGCACACATGCCCATGGTTTGAGCTAGCTGGAAAACAAGATGTGGAAAGACCCTGTCAATACCTGTCTCCAAGTGAGGGCACTCTAGCTGTGACATCTGTCACCCCATTGATCTGCAGGGTTTACTCAGCTGCCCTGGCTGGCTAGTGGCTAGCGCCTCCTTCCTCCTTTCCCACTGCAGGCTGTGTGCTCTGTGGAAGAGGGCAGCCTTTCCTGAGAGCTGAGACTGCTTCTCAGTCAGGGTATACAAAGAGCTGCTGCCCTGCTAGAACCTCCGGAAACACTACAGGACTCTTCCTCCTCAGCACCTTCTCTCCCTCCAGCATTTTCTCTCATTAAAAAGAAAGAGTAAGGGAGAGAAAATGAGACAGAGTAGGTCAACTGCGAATAGATTATGTACTATACAATCAGTAGGGGTTAGGACCAGCAGATGATGTAATGGTTACGTCGCTAGACTCCCACGTAGTTGACCACAGTTCAAGCCCCGGACCCATGGCTTAAAACTCACACTGGGAGCATGTACTTACATGCCCAAGATCCCAAAAGGAGAGTGGAAGAAAAGGGATTGTGGCATGGCCATCCAGTCTGGGGGTAATTTCTCCCTTCCTGTCTCTCCAGCAACTGCCCTATCGCAAAAATCTCTTTCTTTAAAAAAAGATCAGTAGGGCTCTCTAATAGAGCCATGGGCCAATTTCAATTCTTTATTTTGTATTTGCCCCTGACAAAAATTTCTCAGAATATGGATTTCGGTATAACAGAAAAAAAACAAAATTGCAAAACAGATCAAAGTAAATTCTATGTAAAAGTCTTAGGAAAATGACTAAATTGCAGTTAAATTTTGTTCATAAAGCTGCTAAAAAATTGTATTTATCTAGCCAGTCCCATAGCTTAGTGGTAAAGGGAGCAGACGTTAACATGACAGGCTGGAGCTCAAATCCAGGCCCCAGCAGCTTGAAAAACACACCAGTCTCATGTGCATAAGTGCCTAAATCCTAACAAAATGGATGGCAAAATGGAGGAAAAGGGGACTGTAGAGTAACCACACCCCACTGGGGGGTGTTTCTCTCTCTCTCTCTCCCTGGCTCTCTCTCTCTCTCTGGTGGGTGCATATGCCTCCTGGCAATGAAAAAACATGAAAGGGGGACCAGCAGTTAGCATAATGGCTATGTCGCTGGACTCCCACGTAGCCGACCACGCCTGGTGGCTTAAAACTCACACCGGGTGCGTGTGCGTGCGTGCTCAAGATCCTGAGAGGAGAATAGAGAAGGGATTGCGGCGTGGCCATTCCCCCTGGGGGGTGACTTCTCGCTTTCTGTCTCTCTGTCTCTGTCTGTCTGGTGAGTGCATGTGCCCTATAGCAAAAGACCTCTCAAAAATAAAAATTAAATTTAAAAAAATACATACTAATCAACTACTTCACAAAGTAAATATCAAATGTAAAATAAATCTTTATTTGTAATGAAGTCATTCCATCATTATCTTAAAAGCACTGGACAGGGGCCAGGAGATGGCATGGTAGTTGAGGTGCTGGACTCTCACATGGCCAACCACAGTTTGAATCCTGGACCTAACAGCTTGCATTCTCCCTTTCTCTCTTTTTCTCTTTCTCTCTCATGTGCCCTATAGCAAATTAAAAACTGATAAATAAAACTGGGACCAGCAGATGGAGTAATGGTTGCATCACCAGACTCCCACGTGATCCACCACGGTTCGAGTCCCAGACCTGGCAGCTTCAAACTCATGCCAGGCATGTGCGTGTGCATGCCTAAGATCCCGAGAGAGTGGAGGAGAAGGGATTACCGTATGGCCATACCCCCTGGAGGTGATTTCTCACTTTCTGTCTCTTTCTCTCTCTAGCAAGCACACACACTCTATAACAAAAATCTCTCTTAAAAAATTAAGTAAATAATTCTTAAAAAAATAAACTGGGACATTACCCTTAGAACAGACAGGGCTGTACGTCCCACTGATGAAACAGATATATAGCTAGCAATTCTGCTGGAAGACAATCGAATTCTCATTACATGCAAAGTACAACCTCACATGAAATGCCATACTGCTTAAGGAGAAATACTTTAGGAAATTGGTGATTTAAAATAACAATAATAATAGTGAGCACTATATTATGCATCACAGGAATGGCTGCTGTTTTTCTGTGAGGAGCTGTACCTGTTTTTCATGAGTCTCAGCTCTCGCTTGCGTGTCGCTTCCTCCGCTAGTTGCTGGGGACTGTGCAAACTCCCTGGGGAGGCAGCCATCACCACTCCCTGTGGCAGAGCCGTCGTGGGAGCCCGGATCTGGTATGTTGGCATGTCACCAGTGGCAGCTAAAATGAAACAAAATACCACAAGTTTATGTGAACTATCCAGAATCTGCTATTTTATATGAGGTTGACCTAGAATTAACACACTTTTTCCATGTCATAGGAGGTAATATTTAAGATGATTACTCTGAGCATTACAGAAATCTTAAGTATCAAAGATCTTCTCAGTGTTTGGAACAACAATATTTTGTGTGCTCTAGTCACTTAAGGTGGAAAAGTGTCCGAATGAACTTTAGATAGGTTTTTGTTAAAGGCTGAAGTAAATACGCCTTCAACTGAGAGTTCAGTCTAAAATGATTGGTGTGCTGATAAATATTAGAAAGCTCTCTTGGGGATAGAAAACACTTTGATCTGTAGAGTTTGATTCTCATAATGTAAGTAATGAACCATAGCCAATTTCAAGTCAGCAATGTGATGTCACTGAATGCAGAGTGGGAAAACACACTATATAGATGAAAAAGATGCAAAGGACCTCCGAGCACAAAGTGAAACAATGAAAAATGATGAGTTTTGAGTACTAATGTCATTTTTAATGTCTTTTATTTAGGGTGTATGTGTGCATGTGTCACTTTTTTAAAAAAGCTTTTAATTATTTATTTATTTATTTTAATTTGACTGGAATGAGAGAGAGAGGGGGAAAGTGAGAAAGCAAGTCACCAGGTCCAGGAATTGAACTGTGGCTAGCCACGTAGAAGCCCCATGCCCTTAACCACCATGCCACCTGCCATACCCGTGTGTGTAACTTTTAAAAATGGATATTTAAACCACCAGCTCACAAACATGCAGAAAATTTAACCATAGCTCTGGCAAGCCCAGGGAGCTGCTCTGGCACATGCTGCAGACATCTGAACTCAGTGGAACGTCTCCATCCTCTGACTAGACTTTCCTTTCCCCTGTCATGTGCCTAAAACCGGGACTGACTGTCTCTGAGTGCAAACCCTTTTAATCAGAAAATGATTGAGGCACTGGCAAGAATCTCAACTCACTGCAGTTTCAGTTAAAGGAAACAATAACCAAAAAAATAGAGCAGAGCTCTACTTAAAACTGGTTGCTTGGGACCAGCAGGTGGCATGGCTGATAAGGTGCCAGACACTCCCACATGGCCGATCACGGTTCAAGTCCTGGACCTGGTGGCTTGCTTTCTCACTTTCTCTGTCTCTCATCAAATTAAAATAAATGAATGAATAAACAAAATTTTTAAAAAACTGATCCCTCTGGGGAAAGATGTTTTTTGTCATTCCCATGTTTCTTAGGATAATAATACATGTCTAAGTATTCATTAAAAAAAAGTTTTCTAAGTGCAGTATAATGTAATTATGATTAAATATGATTAAAAGACAGATTTTATTTAGCTAGTGGGACTGGCAGATGGTGAAATGGTTAGATCTCTGGACTCCCAAGTTCGAGTCTCGGACCCAGTGACTTAAAACTCACACCAGGCTGATGTGCGTGTGTGCCCAATATCCCAAGAGGAGACTGGAGGAGAAGGGACTGCAGCATGGCCATCCCCTCTGGGGGGTGATTTCTCACTTTATGTCTCTCTGTCTCTCTGGTGAGTGCACGCATCTCTCTAAAAGTTTTTAAAAATATTTAGCTAGCATTCAGATAGACTACTCAAAGAAAGTTCTCAAAATTCCTGAATTTATATTAAAAACTTGTCTATTTACTGAAATAACATTGCTTCCTAGAAAAGACAGATGGAGTGGAGTGATGAAGCATGTTTCCAACACCAACGCTTCCACTTTGAGAATGTGTGGCCCAGAGTTAATTCAAAATACATGCTTTCTCAAAGCTCAATGCCAAGAAAAAAAGTTATTAAATCCTGTAAAAACTGGTCTGAACCAAATGCCAATCAGAAGAGGGAGTACCGAACTTCCACATTCAATGAAAATGTACCATATTCACTGAGTAAGAAATGACATTTTGCCCAAATGAGAGTCAGACTCTTTCACCAAAATGGGGTATTATCACTGAAAATAGCCAGGTAGTTTTAAAAAGTTAAAAAGTTACTGATCTGGGGGCAGCAACTGGTGTGGAGTTAAGATGGCTGGATCCCAAATGGCTGACTTCATGGTTCAAGTCCCAGACCTGGTGGCTTGAAAATCATGCTGGGTACATGCATATACCTGGCCAAAATCCTGAGGAGAATGGAGAAGGGATTACAGCGTAGCCATGCTCCCCATGGGGTGATTTCTCACTTTCCCTATCCATCTCTTTCTCTCTTTCTATGGTGAACGCGTACACACTACAGCAACAACAACAAAAAATTAACTGATCTGTGTGCTTCTATTTGGGTATAAGCCAGTTTTCTACCTCCAGGGCTCAAGAATTATGTGAAAGAATAAAATAATTAAAAATACGGCTTTCAAGGAAGATTCCTTCAAAGTCTTCATAGAATTAACAAAAATCCCATTTATCAAGCTGGACTACCTCTTCCTTCTACATGTAATTTGAAAAAATGGTGAGAAATAGTTACTGTGATTAATAATCACCCGCAAAACCTCTATTAATATACACTTGGGGAAACTAAGTTTGCTTCGTGACTATTTAAGACACTCTATACACAGATGTCTCACTATGTGTTGTAGAAAATTTTATAGCTCTGAAATATTTAATGTCATTTAACATTTAATATTTAGCTAACTCACTCAAGGTTTTTTTTTTTTTTTTTTTAAATACATTAACCACAGTCAGATGAGACAGAGTGGGGCTGAGAAGAACCAGCTCTCCCTTTCTCTTTACCCACATCCAGGGAGCGGGTTATGGGATAATCAAGGAACCAATGACTGGGGACCACACAGGCTGCCCAAAACGGGGAGGGGCCAGCGCCAGGGGAAGAGACTGTCCAACGTGTGGCCACCAGGGGGCGGGTGGGTGCAGCACAGGCGGCTCTGCTCACAGAGAGGAGCAGAGGGGCTCCTCGTCACCTTCCAGCGGGCAAACACTTGCCATTTCCTGCCAGGTACAGCTGGACAGAATGCTGGCAGGACATACACCAGCAAGAGCTGGTGTGAGAAGATGCATTTTTTTAAAATAAGAAAAAAGGGGTGTGTATGGGAATACTCACAGGTAAGGAATGAAGTTCATTCTTACATTTACCAGAAATGGTTTGAAACAACTCTGGCCCGTTACCGAAAGCCACCACCACCCTCAAAGGACCAAGCCTGGCACTGTGAAGGATAATGGCAATCCCCAAAGAAGCCTTCTTAAAACATTTGAGCAAGAGCTCAGAAAAGAACCCATCATGTTAAAATGCATCCCCTTGCAGGGGAAGATGTATTTAGATGTGTTAGTTCTGACATGTTAGACAAACCAAGTTTTTAAAATACTTTTTTAGACATATCATATATTCATTTCATTTCCTTCAACAAAAAATCAAAATTACAGCTCATTAGTTCAAGCCAAGACGAAGTTTTAGTGTAAATTAGTAGGAATCAGTACACTGTTCAGTAATATCCCAAAGAATCCATATGAAGGTACCCTTCTAACAATGGCCCATGCGTACATTCCGTGTACACTCAGATATAACCTGGTTAGTACGGTACACTTCACAGACGTGGGCAGAGAATCTCTTCTGTGGAGGGGCCTTGAATGTCAAAGGTTTTATTTTTGAAACAAGGTATACAAAAGGGCTTTATCTTAATTAGTTTCCATTTCCCAACTGATGAGTTTAGGGGTGAGTTAGTGCAGATGGGACACTAAGGATCAGAGTTCAGATGGCTATCCTTCTCGCTTCGATGACATGGTCATAATCTCCTCAAAGGTCAATTCCCGCCTTACTTACTACTAAAAGTACCCACTCAATTTTCATTCCAGAGTTTCGTATTCTGAAAATACATAGGGGAATGACTGAAGAAAGGTAAGAAAAAGGCATTTACACCATAATTTCATCTTTCTAACCTTGATACGACTTAGATCGAGCATGGCCCTTGGCACACACAGGTGCTCTGGGAGCTGATGTGTGTGCAGTGAAGGACATTTTGAATTTTCTAGGGTTTTCACAAGCCCACTGACCTCTGGAATGTTTAAAATAAACAGTCTTTCTTATTGACTTACGTTGTTTATATCTGTCTTTACATCTTTAACACTAAGAGAAAGAAAATCTATGAGATGCTGTGTTAATGCAACGTGATCTTGATAAAAGTCATCATTTTCTAAATCTTCCTTTAGATAAACTTTATAAAACATCTAACATGACATTTTAGAAACAGAATACAGTATGTTTCCAACCTTCTAACTCCTGATCACAGAGACATTTTTTTTTTTAGGTTCAGTATCAAACATTCCGTGGGAAAGGAGAATTCCTCGAACTCCCAGTTCTGGTCATTAACGTCATACCTCTCTTTGCAAGCTTTAAACGCGTACAGCAGAAAAAGCATGGGGCTTGGAGTCTGAGTTCTAGTCCAGCTCTGCCACTTACCAGCCATGTGACTTGGGGCAAGTTCAGTTTCCTCATCTGTAAAATGGGGATACACGATCTCATTTCATACTCACAACAAACCCTGCCATGTATGTCAAAGTGTCTAGCACACTGCCTGGCACATGGGAGGCATGCAGCAAGTGTTAGTTCCCTTCCTCTTCCCTTCCTTAAGCTCTGAAAGACAATGGTCCAGATTATGTTCACACCGTTGATTAGTTACAAGGCATAGTGCACCCACAGGTATATTTTCCCCTGGACTTTCCATTCTGACAAACCCAGGGAATGAAAATGTATGGACCTTACTTCTCAGTTTGTTTCCAAATACGCCAATTACAAAACATTTAAATGTCTTATAGCCCTTTAGAGACTAAGTTGTTAAAAGATAACATAAAATATCCTTTTACTGTACAGTCATTTAAAATTGAACCTCCAAGGTGGAGAATCACAAATGACTAAATAATATACTTTCATCAGACTAGTAAGTAATAAAACAGAAAGACAACCCACAAGTTAGGGTAGGAAATACATAATTTCAAACCCGGCCAAATACCTATCTTGATAGCTTCCAGAGTAAGGCAGTCTTATCAACACCCCAAGTGAGGATGACGTTACCTGATCACTTACTTAGTTACTTATTGAGAGATCTATAGCATTGAGCATGTTACTGAATACAAACATCTTTACCTAGAGAGTCCCTGCCTCTGTGTGTTGTGTCACTAACCCTAGAAACACCGAATGAGCAACAGGTGACTTACAAGTGGCATTTGTAAGTGTGCAGCTTCTTTCCCCGGCTCGAATAGTCTGCTGAAACCTTCACCACGTTTTTGTTATTCTCTGCCTCCCTACCAACACTCCCGAGGGCCTAATATCCAAATCAGGCTTGTCAGTGCCTGGTGTGTCAGACCATTAAAAAAACTCCCCCTTCCCAGGAAAATAAAATCCCCCATTAAAAAAACAAACAAACAAACAAAAACTACTTAAGCACTGAAACATTTTCAAATTTCTTATAATTGCTAAAACACATAGACAACATAAAATTAAGTCATTACATATTTTTTCAGCTTTATTGAAGTATCATTGACAAATAAAAATCGTATGTACTTAAGGTGTACAACGTGACACTTTGATATACGTATACATTGCAAAAAAAGCACTACGATCGAGCTAAGTAAGTTACACATGAGAGACTTTCTTGTTTATTAAGTAAAAATCTTAGAGTCAAAAAGTTTATATAAAAGATGGCAAAGTATGGATACTGAAATTTACTGCTCTGCTCAATGGCATATATGCCCTTCTGCCCCATGAGGGCAATAATGAATATTCTAGAAGAAACTCCATTTTGACCACCTAAAATGATGCTAATTCCGTTGCCTAGCTCGTAAGCACTGTGTAGTATGCTTCTGTTACATATGTTACACTGGCACTGGTTTATCCTTGCCAGGTGAATTCTGAGGAGCTGGTGGCATGGTGTGAGCAGAGGCAGAGGAGAGTTCTATAGACCAAGCAGGGCTCCCCACTTGCCAGCGCTGTGAGCGTCAGAGTCACTGCCCACGTTGCTCCGTGCTCAATCAGAGATAACGTGGCAGGCAGGAGTGCAAATGCATGGGAGGTCCTTCTTGTTCAATAATTACAGTTTCCTCAGGGAGACTGCTGTGATCCTTTAAGCTGTAGCTGGGGCTTCCTGTGTGTCACTCATCGTCCGATAGTCTATTTGATAGCACTTGCCACAGTCTGGACTTAGGTTTATTTATAACATTAAGTGACTTTTTACTTTAAAGTTCACAAAAAAGCAAAGTGTCATCATAATTAGGCAATATATTCATATAGGACAACAAAACAGAGCAAAGTGAAATAGATACCCCAAATGATATTTCATTAAAAATCTTACAAAAAAAAAGCATGATAACATTGTTCAACTTCACTCTCCATATAGAGGTGGGTTTTTTTGAAAACTCAAGGTAGGTAAGTGACTTGTTCCTTTCAGTTTCAACATGATTATAATTTGCTTGGCTACCAACTTCAACAAGCTGTTAGAACTGATCAGAGCCATTCTTTTCTATGAGAATTTCCGAACTAAAACCATTGCCAACGGCGTCCTTTTATAACAATGATTTATATCTTGGTCTCATGCATAAAATATTAACTATTTCCCAAATGTGAATGGTTGGAAAGTTTATTTGTAACAATTCGGACAACTCGCCTGAATACAACATATTAAGACTTGGAGCCTCAAAGATATGAAATTACGCTGCTAACTTAATCAGCCTATGAATAAATGAAAATATTCTAGCAAAAATTTTTTTCTTTTTTCTTTTTTTTTTAAAGAGGTTTTTGCTATAGGGCGCGTGTGCTCACCTGACAGAGAGAGACAGAGAGACAGAAAGTGAGAAATCACCCCCCCAGGGGGGATGGCCACGCTGCAATCCTTCTCCTCCGTTCTCCTCTCGGGATCTTGGGCACGCACGCACACACGCCCGGCGTGAGTTTTAAGCCACCGGGTCTGGGACACGAACCACGGTCGACTACATGGGAGTCCAGCGACATAGCCATTACACTAACTGCTGGTCCCCTCTAGCAAAAATTTTAACAACATAATCTTATAATCTAACAATATTCATTTTTCATTTTTTATTTTACGATCCTGTAAGTCCATGCTGATCTTTTCCAGATCAGTCATTACGTTAGAAGCCTGATTTTGATCCATACCAAGAGTTTTCCAACTATAAGTTACAGACCATTAATGGGACATAAAACCAGTCTCATGGGTCCAGAACTGTATTTATTCAAAAAAGAGAGGGCAGCCCAGACCACGGCAGTGCAGGGCTGTGCAGCAGGTGCCAGATGCCACATGCTGGCCAACTCTCAGGTTCCAGCCGGGGGCTGAGACACTAGGTACGCATGTGTGTGCGCCCAAAATCCTTACGGGAAAGAGAAATGGAGCATGGCGACCCCGCTCCCCAGTAGGGGATGCTTTGTGTCGCCCCCTCTCTCAGAGGAGCACACACATCCTCTGGCATTAAAAACCAGAGGGGAGCGAGCAGAACAAGTCCCTCGCACGTGGCAGGGTGAGGGGTACTCGGGACACTGGCTTCCTGTGGAGCAGGGTGCACATACACAGGCCCACTGTGTGCGAGGTGAAGTGCCGGCTGCGGTCAGGAGTGTGCACGCCACTCTCCAGTCCATCTACCTAGTCAGCCCAGGACCGGGAACCCAGAGGCCTGGTTCCGAAAGGTGCTCTCCTCTACCCTGGCAAAAGTTCCTTAAGCCCTGTACACTCTTCCCTCTTAAAAAAATTTTAAAATTCAAAGGAAAACTTGTTTATTTTCAAGTAGCACCAATTTTGTAAGCGCTGACCATATTTTTTAAAGTAATGATGTACAAAGGTACAATCAGGTCTGGTGGAAAAATGTCCTATTTTGTTTGACATTTGTCTCAGCATTCTGAAAGTTTTACCTTAGAAAGGACAAATTAAGTATAAGCTTTACTGGTAAAACTGATCGTGAGAAAGACGCTCCCTGGTTAGTATATTCATTCTTTAAACATAAATGTAGAAAGATGATCATTTATTTACAAACAGTGCTTAAAGTGTTTTTTTTTAAATAATTATTTTAAAATTTATTATTACTCTAAAAAAGTTGCTATAGGGCACGTGCACACTCGAGAAGAAAGTGAAAAAGCAAGTCACCAGGTCCAAGACTTGAATCACGGTCAGCCATGTGGGAGCCCAGCACCTGTATACGACCATTCCACACGCTGGCCCAGTGGTTAAAGTTTTTATACAAATTACTACCTTAAACTTTCATCTTAAATATAACACTATTTTCTTTCTCTCTCTCTCTTTTATTTAGGTTTTTGCTATAAGGTGTGTAGACTTGCCAAAGAGAGGAAAAAGAGAAATCACGCCCTAGGAGGGTGGCCACACCATAATCCCTCCATATTTTGGGCATGCGCACACATGTGCCTGGCATGATTTTCAAGCCACCAGATCCAGGACTGGAGCCGTGTTCAGCCATGTGGGAGTCCAGCACCTTAACCACCAGGCCACCTGCTGCCCCACCACCCCCCTTTTTTATTTGCCAGAGAGAGCCAGAAAGAGAGGGGTGGGAAGGTGAGAAAGGTGACAGCCTACACCCCCACCCCCCCACCCCCGCAACAGGGCGTCAAGCTACAAACCCTTCTCCTTTTGGGATTTTTGGCCATGTACAAGTCAAATGGTGAATTAAAGGGTTAAAAAATATTGATAACTTAAAAAAGTTATGCAAATTGGCTTTGGGTTCTAAGAACCCTATGACAAGTAGTATCTGAGATGATTAGAATTCATCAGTATCTTAGAACAATTTTGTCATTTGAAACCTTCTGCAATTCCTATAGCATGTTTCTAATCTCGCAAAAGCTTCTCTGAGGAAAAAACAGCTCCTGGAGACAAATCCGGACAGCTAGGGGACTGAGGAGCCCCTGTGGAAGCTTTGTCCTGGGCCACTCTTCCAGAACTCCTGGCCAGCTCAGCACTGAGTTCCACAGAAGACCAGGAGCCACGCTGCACCCGCGCACGGGTAATCAGTAACCACGTCTTTCAAAATCTCTGTGCCCACGCAGAGCAGGTACAGCGGTGGGAGTAGAACTGCTAGGCGATAAGCACTCCCCTGGCCGCCACCGGAGGGCTCCCCGACGCACCCACGCGGGGAGAAGGGGGACCCCTGCTCCCCGACGCACCCACGTGGGGAGAAGGGGGACCCCAGCCTGTGCTGCGCCCAGTTCAGCACCGCGCCAGGCCGCTCCTGAGGTCTGTCTACGCAGCAGGCACAACAGGTTTCCTAACGATCCTCTCGCTCACCCCCCCAGGGGAAGGTCAGAGAAGCAGTCAAGCCGGGCTTCCAGAAAAGCCTTGCCGCGCCGCGCCCTGCGGACTGGCAGGGAGCAGGTTAACAGCTCTCAACCTGTCAGCACTTACCGGGCAGAACGGCACTGACTAACTCACAACATGACCAGCTGACGTCAACGTGCAACTCGCCTGGAGTTGAACTTTTCCACTTCCC